AGCCAGCATTCGCTGGCTGGGGAATTCTGGGAGTTGAAGTCCGGACCTCTTCAAGTGGCCAAGGTTGAGAAACACTGATTTAAAGGGCTGAAAAGGTGGGGGGAAGGCCTCCCTCCCTCCCTCCCGGCCTTTTGGGGCGCAAAGCCCGAGCGCCTCCTTACCTTCCCGTGCACCACCGCATGCTCCCCGTGCAGGATGACCTTCCCCGGGGCGGAAAGCACCAGGCTCCCCTCCTTCCACATCGCCTCCCTGCAGAGAGAAACGCCCGTCGGTCCGTCCGAGCGGAGCAAAGCTCCTCGCCGCCCCAGCCTGAGCCTCCCCACCCCGAGGCACTCTACCTGCGCCCCTCCGCGCAATGCATGCTGGGCCGGCGGGAGAGCCGCTCACCTGTGCTCTGGACGACCATCCCCAAAGGGGCGTGGCCGGCGCTCCGCCCCCCGCCCAATCAGGCGATGCGGACCATTCCTTCCCCGGATTGGCTGCTTCCCACATCGCCGCGCCCAATCGGGAGCCGGAGGGGGGCGGCGACGGCGGCCGGGAAGGGACAATCCCGGTGGGGCGCTTCGCCCTCGTCCCCGGGCATGGCTGGGACTTGCTGGCAGGGCGGCCGCTTCCTCCTGGCGCGGGCGGCGGCGGCGGTGGACGGCGGGGCGAGGAGCCGGGCCTTTTGCCGGCCACCGGGGCCCGAGCCGCCCAGGTGAGGACCGTGGCGGTGTTGCAGCCGAATGCACCGGGGGAGGGCGGTGTCCCTGGGGGAGAGGGGGCGAAGGGTTTCGGGAGACCCCCAGGAGGGGCGGGCGTGGCTGCCTTCATGCGGCTCCCTTCTCCTCCCTGCAGCCCGGATTCCAAGCCCGGGAAAAGCAGCGGAGCCCCCAAGATCTACACCAGGACGGGAGACAAAGGTAGCCCCTCCGCCTGGCCCTAACCCCCCGGCCCCCCCCACCCCTGCCTCCCCGGTGGGCGCCCATCGCCTGTCTCTTCTTGGGCTTAAAGGGTTCTCCAGCACCTTCACCGGGGAGAGGAGAGCCAAAGATGACCTGATCTTCGAGGCTTTGGGGACCCTGGACGAACTGAGCTCGGCTATAGGGTAAATGCAACACTCCTATGCCCAATAGGCCAGCTAAAGTTGCCCCCCCCCCCAACGCCTGGTCCCATGGAGTATTCTTGGCTGCCTGTCACCAGTTGGGCCTTTGCCCTTTAGATAGGGGAAGGCAAGTTAGCTTTGGATGAGAAACGCACATGCAAATGTAATACTTGCAAAGCAGTATTAATATCTATAGGTAACAGCAGCATTCTTGAGACACGCTCTACGTTTAGGAGAAATATGTGACAGTTCCATAGATTTCAGACTGCCTTAATAGTTGTTGCGTGTGATCACATGGCCATGGGGAGCAGCTGCCAGAATACAGGAACTTGGGTGTAAGAAGCCCTCAGGAAGCCCATTGTACTTTCCAAAGTTTGCTAAGTGACCAATCATAGGTTTATCACCCCAAATAATTAATATTATTATTAGAGGAGAGGGAGTCACAGCCGGAGGCTCACTCTGTCCTTTTTCACTGCAGCTTAAGTGCTGAATTTGGCAGCGAAAGAGGCCACGCGTTTGTGGAAGAACTCCACAAGGTGAGAGATAAATTGAAATCATTCTTTCTATCTGGGCCAAGCTTTACTCCCCTCTTACTCTGAGAGGCGCATTAAAACAGAGGCCTGACTCCCTTCCAGGCGATACCAACTTTGTGCCCCAAACATGTCTCGACTTCCCCATTGCAGGTCCAGTGCATGCTGCAAGATGCCGGCTCTAATGTGGCAACACCCATCTCTTCAGCCAGAGAGTCTCACATAAGTAAGTAGGACTTCTCTAAGAAAGTTGGAAGGTTGGTAAGGAATTTGCTTTTCAAGCCAGTTTTCCTTGCCTTTTGCTTTCTGCTGAGAGTTGGAAGCCCAGACTTCTCCCATGGCTGCTTCACTGATTGCATCCATAACCTGTTGAGATTCAAAGGCTTCCAAGGGTCCCTAAATGGGGGGAGCTTTTGGATTTGACACCTTTGAGTCACGCTTGGCAGATCAAAGCAGGAGATTCGAACCCTCACCACCCTCCAGGCCTTCCGCAAAGCCACCAAGTCCTGGCTGCTCCAGCTGGCCGGGGGGCCTGTGAAATATCCAGCCCCACGGAAATTGGGAATGTTGTGGTTTTGTTTTTAAAGTGTTGTCTTTGTCTATTGTGAGCCGCCCGGAGTCCTTCGGGAGTGGGCGGCATACAAGACAAATAAAATAAAATCAAAATCAAATCAGGCCGACCGGTCGTGAAACTCGGCCCACCTCATAGACGGCCTTTCCCAGCATCTTCCCCACGAACTCGAAGAGCTGCAGGAAGTTCTCGTGGATGTAGGCGGTGGGGGAGGGGTACAGCCTCTCATCCCCGCTGGTGGTCTGGGCCGAAACAGAGCAGGAGAGCTGAGGAGCTGGAGACACGGAGCCTCACTCCCCTCTCTGGGTCTGCCCCAAATCCCGTCCCTGGGGCAGATACCTTGAAGAGGTTGAGGGCCGGGTCAAAGACCTTCTTGATGATCTCCTCCAGGAACTCCTTGAAGACCCCGTCCTGGTCGATGCCCGCTTCATCCATGCCCAGGTCGTTCACAAACTTCACCCGGATGACGCCCTTCATGGCGTTCTGGGAGAGCTGGCGCAGCTGCTCGTAGCCGTCCTGGAGAGGCCCAAGACAGTCCCCGGGATCAGGAGGGGAAGGGAAGGGGCGCTCGAGGGCCACCGGCCCACCCCTCTCACCTCCAGCATGCGGGACCGGCGGATGGTGATGTGGGTGACGTGAGGCGACGCAGAGCTGCTCTCCACCAAGCCCAGCTGCTCCTTCTCTTTGGTGACCATACTCCGGAAGAGAAGGACCCGCTAAATTTCGGGGGGGGGGGGGAGGGAAAGAACATGGCTTAGCCCTGCTGGGTTTGCAAAGTGGAGACCACAAGGAGAGCGCCCCCCCCCCAAGGGCCGAGATGCTGGTGGGGCTTCCTGCCTTGGCCTGAATTCTTCTGAAGCGCGTCTGGATCGCAGGGTGGCCCGGCTGGGTCTGTTTCAAGGCCAGGACCGTCCCACCGGCCAGCCCTGGCCTGCCACCTCCTCAGCCCCACTCACATTTTTGTGGGGGACCACATGGGGGATGTACTGCAGCACCAGCTGGGCTCGTTTCCGATCTTTGTCAAGCTCCTGGAACAGCAAGTTGGGCTTCAGGTCCCTAAACAACANCTTCAACTCCCAGAATTCTCCAGCCAGCAGAGCTGGCTGGAGAATTCTGGGAGTTGAAGTCCACAAGTCTTAAAGTTGCCAAGTTTGGGAACCACTGACCTAGGTTGGGGCTCTCCGGCATAATGGCTGGGGAATCCTGGGAGTTGAAGTCCACGAGTCTTAAAAGTTGCCAGCTTTGGAGCCCCCTGGTCTAAACCCATTAGAACCTCCTTCCACAAGCAGCCAGACTCAACCTCAAAAGAACCCTGAGAGACGTGGCACACGACCGCCCTGGTCTGCCCGGCGGGGTCCCCTTCGCCTTCTGCCTACGTGCTCCTTCTTGGGGCTGAAAGACCCCACCACCCCCCTCGGCCTAAGTGCACTCGGGCGCCTTCCGCGCCAGGCCTTTCCCCCAGGGAGGCTGCTCAAAGTTCACACTGGAGACCCCTTGCCCTGGGCCTTGGCCACTGAAGGCCGAGGGGTGGATTCCAGTCCCGTGCCTTGCTGGGGAGGGCCCGGGGGGGGGATCCAAAGCCAAACTGGTTTGGCCAGCAGTTCAAGGGAACAAAAGTGGGCTGGACAAGACTCCCACTTTCGGGTCAAGAGGTAAAGGCAGCCTTGCAGGCTCACGGAGGAACAGGTTTTCTGGCCGCTAACTCTAATCTCTCACCCGCTCTGAGGAGGCCTCGGACTCAGCAGGCGGAGATCGGCCTCCTTACAAGGGAGCCCTGCAAGAGTTTGGCCACAGCCCGCCCAGGGCAGTTGGGACGCTTGACCAGGACAGGCAGGAAGGCCGCAGCAACGTGGAGGAAGAGAGAAGGCGGCATCAAGAGGCCCCGCCCTCTGCAGCAGCCATGGGGGCTCTTAACGCGAGGGACCCCCTGCCCAGCCCTCCACGCGGCCCCTGCCCCCTGCAACGGCTCACTCTACAAGGTTTGCAGGCAAGGCTACGTTTAATGGCAGGCCAGCTGCGGTCTCGGAGGAGCGAAGCAGTGCTGGAGGCAGCTCCTTTTCTACCTGGGCACCGGAGTCCCAAGGGCTCCGGGGAAGGGGCTGTTTTGTGCAGCCAACTGGGCCCCGCCCCCCCAGGCCCTCCTTTCTCTCGCCAGGGCCGCTACGAGAGCTCAAAGCCCGTGTTCATGCTGATGGCGTAGCGCAGCTTCTCCCTCAGGACGCTCTTCTTGCTGTAGTTGGGCAGCTTCAGGAGGTTGAAGCAGGTGGAGGAGGTGGGCAGGCGGCCCCCGGGCTCCTTCTTCCGGATGGTGAAGAAGCCCCTCAGGACGCTGCCCAGGGTGTCCCCCGTGTCCTGGGAGACAGGCAGGAATAAGGAAGGGGGGGGGGAATCACCAGCCGAAGAGGCTGAACCCCAATCCCACGAACGGATCAGCCAGGCTCCCCCCTCCTTTCCTTCCACTGGGACGTCCCAGGAATGTTGACGGCCCTCCCTTCCCCCAGGGCTCTGGGTCTCCGCCACAGAACGCCAGCTGGCCGCACTTTGCCTGGGAACACAAGCAGCGGCTCTGGAGGCCCCATCCCTGCCCTGCCAACAGCCCCACACACACCTGGTCATCCGACACTTCCACGCACCGGATAGAGAAGGGAGGCTTGAGGTAGACGAAGCCCAGGAGGGGCGGCCGGGAACAGCTGGTGACAAACTGAGAGGCAAGAGAGAAATGAAGAGTGGGACGCAGCACTGGCACTGGGGGGGGAGGGGGGGGTTTGCCCCACATAGCCCCCAACAGAGGGGAGAGTAGCGCTTAGGGAAGTCGGTTCCCTCGCAGAGACATGCGTGTGCCACACGGGTTCCCTCACCTTGAGAAACATGGCTCTTTCCTCGGGGCTGAAGTCGTTGGCAAGGATGTCCCAGAGCCAGATGATGACCCTGTGGCTGCCATGGAAGCCCCCGTAGTAGACGGTGTGTTTCCTAGAGGGAACCAAAGAGGTCAGGGGAGAGGGCAGAATCCCCCCCACCCTTGAAAGGGCCAGGGGCCCCTTTTGCAACGCCCCAGACATGCTCCTGGCCTCCCTCAGGTGTTGAGGCTTCTAGGCAGGCCGGGCTTTTCCTCCTCCTCCTCCCCCCAAGCACTGCAGCTTCTCTTCCCCCCTCGGACTCTTCTCTCCCCAGGCGCTTGAATGCACCGCGAGATCCCTGTGTCTCTCCCCGATTCCCCAGCCTCCCAATCTCCCTCCTGGAAGTGGCCTTGCAAGGCCTTTGCCTCTCCTGCTCGCAAGCCTCCCTTCAGGCAAGCGGGAGGGCGGTTCCGGGGTTCCCCCGCGGAGATCCCTGGCAGCGCAAGGCACCCGGGGCGGGAAGAGTCCGGGCCTTGGAGCCATCCCGGCCCCTGCTTTACTTCAAGTCCTCCAGGTCGATCTCCGCATTGTCGCCAGATATCAACCGCTGCAACTCGGGGGCGGAGAAGACCCGGATCCACTCGGGCTTGATGATGGAGCGGAAGCCGCCGATGAAGGCGGCTGTCTGGTTCTTGATCTGGGTGTGCATGCGGAAGTGGGCCATCAGGTGGATGTAGCTGATCCTGGGAAACGGGGGGAGGAAGCCAGAAGGGTGGAGAGTTGAGCCTCACAGCCCGTCTCCCCAGGAAGCCCTTTGCTGCCTGAGGCCTTTGGGGCAGGGAGGAAGGTCAAAAGGAGCCCAGAGGCCCCTTTGCAACAAAGACAGCGGCCGGATCCCGCCGGGGAAAGTCAGCAAAGTCAGCCTTACTTGTTCTCGTTGGTCACCGGGATGGTCTTTCCCCCAGGAATGAGTTCGTGGCACACAAGCTAGAAAGGCAAAAACCGTGGAGCGGGAAAAGAAAAAAAAAAGGAGAGAAATTAGCATTTACTGCAGAAACGGGGATGGGGCGAGCGAGCAGCTGGCAACCCCTGGAAAGCAGGTGCCGCTCAAGGGGCCTCCGACCCTACCTGGCCCATCACGTCTTCATCGTAGGAGAGGGTGAGGCCCAGGTCGCTGGTATCTCCTTCGTAGCGCTGCAGAAGGGCGAGAAAGCAACTCCGTTGCTGAGGAATTGCAGGGAAAGGGTCCGGCAGAAGTTGCCCAACATGAGACCCAGGATGGCTTAGCCTTAAAAAAAAAAAACCTGCCCCAGAGAAAGGCCAACTCTGCTGCTTGCAAAACCCCCCAGCACAGCTGAACACCCCCTGCGTGTCGCTTTTTGTGCTCTGCCAGGAGTGATGAGGAACAAGAAGGGGCCTTGCATAACCCGCCCTCTGCAGCCTCTCGCGTCCCCGCAGGAGCCGCCCGGGGGACCAAAGCATCGCCCGCAGGAGCTGGGAGTGAACCTTGATGGAGGTCAGGTTCTTATAGAACTCGGAATCCAAGGAGGGAAGTTCGTCCACTGAGCTGTAGAAGATGCTGTGATGGTGGCCGAGCAGCTGGCTCAGGAAGAACGAGGCGAAGGGGACGTCCACCACGATGCCCTGGAAAGGAGACGGGTCTGCAGCTCTGGGCCGGAAGGAGCAACTGCCCAACTGGGCGACACCATCCGCGCATCCCTAGCACCGTTCACCGTTGCCCCCTTTGGCTCACGAAACGCCTGGGCCAGAAAACCAGCCGGCTCAGGCAGCACCCGGGGCCCCTCCCTGAAGACGGAAGGCAGGGAGGGCCGTGGGAGAACCGCAGCAGAGCTACCAGCATCCTCCCCCTCCCTCCCCCAAGGCAGCCTGGGTGCCCTTCTTCCCACACTCGGCCCGTGTCGGCTGGCGACCCCCCGGGGGAGAGCCTTCTCTGTTGCAGCTCCAGCCCTCTGGAANTCTTCAAGTGGCCAAGGTTGAGAAACACTGACCTAAAGGGTTGTTGTCCAAGCAGAACACACAAATTAGACACCTGGGCTTTGAGATAGGGCAGGCACAGGGTTGTGGCAACACGGATTCTTGGTCGGGATGTTTTCCCTTTTGCAAACCTCAGTTGCTTTGTGTCATGATGGCGTTTGGGCCTCTTGTCTCCTTATGTCTTCAGCGTTGTTCCTTTGGTGAAAATGGGAGAAGCAGATGCAAATGTCGCCAAGTATTTAAACAGGTAACTTGGGTTTAAGTGATTAAACAGGCAGACAAATGTTGCAGTCCAACCACAAGGAAACTTTGCATGCACAATGCAGACCATGGGACATTGCTGGAGAGGCATACGAAACATCGCAGCCTCTGCAGAAAGAGATCCAAAAGAGATTGTCTGGCCTCAAAAGGATTTTTTCTACTGCTTTACTCTGGCCTTGGGTTCAAACTCCCAGCTGCTTCAAGGGAGTTAATTGGCAACTCTTGTCTCTGTGCATCCATGGGCTTCTTCCGCAGACCTTGGCGAGGGGAGCTGCGTGCACGGGTGGGTCATAAGAGGTCAGCCCTGGCACTTCTCTCCCCTGTGCCCAGACGCAACTCCCGGCTCTGGCTGGGGGTCTCTCTCTAGTTGTGCTGTCAACAGATGGAGGATGACCCTTTTCTTCCCCTCGTATCCAGGCTGAGCGACTATCTGTTTGTCTTGGCCCGGTTGGCTGCAAAGCAGGAAGGGAAGGAGGAGCAAATCTACAGGAGGACGGAGCCCCAAGACTAAACTCATGAATGCACGATGTGCAGTGTACACCTTTTGAGCTAATAGAAGGCAAAACAAAGTGTAAAATCCTGGCAATTTGAAACGCTCAACGCCCTACCTGAGAAGCCAATAGAAGCCCACGGAAATTCAGATTCCTGGCCACTTTGCTGAGAGTCCAGCTTGCGCATGGGAACTCAGAGCAACTGTGATGCCTGAAAGATGCCATTGTTGCGTCTTGGAACAAGGAAGGGAATTGAGGTTCAGTTCAGTCCCATTAAGCATGATGCCGTCTGAAGGCCTCCTTTGATCCAGACAAAAATGGATCTGGATTTCTCCCCTCGGCCACCTTCTTCCATCAACAATCTTGGAAAAATCCAGCTTTTGAAAGACAGGCACTTTTGGCAAATGCTCCAGAATGCCCCAAAGCTCTTTCCCTGGCTTCTATTTTCTCCCAGTCGTGCGTTTTTTTAAAAGAAAAGCAACTGCAGCATTCAACCAATTTTTCAACTTTTATTTCCTGAATTTCCAGTGTGAAGAATGTGCCATTAACTAAAAAAAAATAATACCGGGGGATCAAAGAGCAAAATAATTTATTGATTTCCTCTCTCCTGGGAAAAGACCTATGCGGGGAAGGCGTGGGCTCCTGCAGAAGGGCCTCCAGGGGACACCTAGGCCTGAGCAACAGCGCAATGGAGGGGCCTGTGCATTGCAAAGCCCCTCTTTGCGCACTGAAGGTTGTGGGAAGCCATGAGCAGCTGCTGGCAGGCTTGTTAGGGACTGGCCACTCCTGGATTCCAGTGGGGGGAGGCTGCACCCCCTCCTCCTCCGAGGGGGAAATTTGAAACAGTTCTCTGGGAGGGCTGCAGTGGTAGCCACAGGTCAATGCCCCATAATCCCCAGCGGAAAGTCAGGAAGGGATTTGGCTGAACCAGCATCCAGGACAGCTCCATGCTGATGAACCTGTCTGGGCCCAGCCCTTAATTTAAAAGAGGGGGGGGGGNTTCTGGGAATTGAAGCCCACAAATACTGACTGGAGGGAAGATGCTCCTGCTGAGTTTGGGGCTCGCTGACCACGGAACCCCACAGGGACCCCCCCGGGGGGATGCCGCTCCCTGCTACTCACTCTTCACCGGCAGGCTGTTCTGCGGGGAGGGGGCTGGCGGGGGCTGGCTCTCCAGGAGCTTTTTGCTGAGGACGTCGCTGAAGAGGATGCGGATCATGGGGGCCCCCCAGAGGTGCTGAAGCTGCTTGGTGAGCAACGGCATCGACTCGTTCAAGCTGAGGGAAGGGAGGCGAGGGAGAGGAGGGGAGAGCAGCTGCGGCCGGGAGCCAAGAGGGGGCAAGCCCAGCGCCTCCAGCGGGTCTCCGAGTCAGAAAAAGGAGGAGGGACCCCAAGGCAGCACGTCCGTGTCTCGTCCCCCGTCCCCCCTCGTGGTGCTTACCCGTAATCCACCGTCTGGGAGAACCAGCCAAGGACCGGGTGCCAGTGGGTGAGGTTGGACTTCTTCTGCGAGACGTACTTCTGGCAGTAGCAGAGCATGTGGGTGAGGACGCTGACAAAGTGGCCCGTCTCCTCCTGCAGCACCTTCTCGTTCAGCGAACCCAAGTAGACGAGGTTGCCTGGGAAACAGCCGCAGGATTTGAACCGGCCCCCGGGGCAAGGGGGGGGGAGCTCTGCCCCAATCCCCACCCCAGCCCCAAAGCCCGTCCCCTGCACGCAAGAAGCCTTGCCTCCGTTTCAACCCAAGTGCAGGGACAGAGTTTGCGCAGAGGATGGCAAATATGGTCTCCCTAATTCCCAGAGCCCCCCTTCCTTACTCCGCAGGCGAAGGGGCCACCCGGGGATCTTACCCAGCAGGCAGAGCGTGTGGCTCCCTTCCAGACACACACAGACGTCTCTGCATTGCTCTTCGCGGCTCAGGAAGAGCAGGAACTTGTGCAGGAGATCCTGGGATTCCATCACTGCCAGGCGCTGAAAGGAGAGCAGAAGGGGAGACGTTGATGGGCTAAGGCTCAGCTCCCGGGGCCTTTCAAAGCCTGCTCTGTTCCTTTGGCTCTGGCCAAGAAAGGGAAACAAACACGTCCTCAAGATTCCATGTTCTATAGATGGCATTTAGATCCTAAAAAGCTGGCTTCTATGTATTCGAATTTACGGTTCCACCACAAAACCACGGTAGACGAAAGCGCGCTCGACGAAAGTGCGTACCTGACGTCATCACAGCG